GGGTTCGATTCTGGACAAGGGCATGTACCTTGGTTGCGAGCACATCCCCAGTAGGGGGTGTGCAAGAGGCAGCTGATCGATGATTCTCTCTCATTAATGTTTCTAACTCTCTATCCCTCTCTCTTCCTCTCTGTGAAAAATCAATAAAATATATATATATATTTTTTTTTTTAAAAAAAAGCAAGGTGGAGACTATCTGTGGTGCACCAGTGCTTGGTTAAATGGGGGGCAAAAATGTTTAAGTATATTTGTTGCATGTGCACAAAATATTTCTGAATGGACACAAAATAACTGAAACATTGGTTGACTGGGTGGGGGGAACTGAGTATCCAAGGGACAGGATACCCTTTTTAACATTTAAAATTTTGAACCAAGTAAATGTCTTACCTATTTTAATTAACTAGTTCATTAAAATTAAAGTAATTAACTTTAAAAAATACATCTTCTACACATTAAGCAATGCTAACCTAATAGTCATTTAAAAATAAAATGAAACCAACACCCTAAAACAGTGTTTTAATTTTTCCTTTTTATTGTTTACTCTAGATTATGATTGCATAGTTAACCTCATTAACAATTAATAACCTTTTGAATTTTGGGTACTTTATGCATATATTAAGTCCTAAATTTATTTTTATTTTTCAAAATGGATTACTTTTGTAACAAGAAAACTATTAGACATGAGCACCAGAGCCAGACTGATTGCCTATCCCAGGAAATTATGGCTTTTCCTTTCCAATATCCATTTTAAACAACAACGAAGTTTCAGAATGACTGGACAACCCAAGGGTTATATACAACCCAAAAGTCCTGGTGCATTTGTGGGTGATGGCCTTGGCAGGGCAGACTGTTTCCTTTGGTAACTAATTGTATGACCCCCGGTTTATCTTGTCTTGTTATATAAAAGAAGCAAAATGACGCATGACCACAGAAAACAGGCTAATTAGCTATTAGAAAACATGAGAGGAAAGGAGGGAGAGAAAACACGAGAGGAAAGGAGGGAGAGAAGAGAGACATTCCAGAGCTAGAAAGAGAACTCAGGATGCAATTGCCATGCTGGGAGGACAGTGTAAGAACCTGGGGGGCGGGGGTGGGGCTTGACCAGAACTCACTGGAAAATGGCTTAAAGACTCCCCTGAGGAACCCAGGAGGCTGTACAAGCTGCCAGATCTGCCAGCTCTGAGAGAAGCACTTTTTAGAAGAAAAAAATATATATATATATTTTTTATTGATTTCAGAGAAGAAAGGAGAGGGAAAGAGAGATAGAAACATCAATGATGAGAAAGAATCGTTGATTGGCTGCCTCCTGCACACCCCTCACTGGGGATCAAGCCAGCAACCCAGGCACGTGCCCTTGACTGGAATTGAACCTGGGACCCTTCAGTCTACAAACTGACGTTCTATCCGCTGAGCCAAACCAGCTAGGGCTGAGGAAAGCACTTTTACCTGCAGTGGAAGGAAGTCCTGAATAGTCCAGCAAACAAAACAAAATAAACAAACAGAAAAACTCTAGGAACTAGGAATGAGCAGAAGTTGGAGGAACAAACTGAGGCACCCTCGGAGCCAGCCTAAGGAAGACGTGTTACCTGCCAGGGGAAAGCAGAGAGAGCCCCCTGGGAAAAGGCTTTTATCTTATGCTCTAGTTTATGCCAAACCAACCTCATGTGAAGCCACTTTCCAAAAAAAATCCGGAAAGTCACTTAGCTTCAACTTGAATTTTACAAATAAAGAAACCAAGGCCCTACAATGAGAGTAATTGTGTCAGGTGGTTTGATACACCGGAGGGGCTGGGTGGGATAACTGATGAGTGTGGCCATGGCAATGGACAGAGGGAACAAAGTGCCATCAGAAAAGATAAAGTGAGAAAAGGCTGTGCACCCACGGAAAAGGATTTTAGGTGAAAAGCCCATGTTTACCACCTCTTTAGTATCACCGTGGGCAATAGTAACCAGGGTTAGAGCAAGAAGAAAACATAAGGAAAGTAAAACCTTCAATTTGGGGGCTATTTGGTAGAATTCAGACCAAAGGACATCCCACATGTATTTGATAACCCCAAATACATTTACAGTTGAAAAACCAAATGCCTTTAAGTCAAGGTAAATGTGTGAACGAGAGTATGGGACAACTGGGTCTGGTCAGACTGGCACAGGGAAGGCTCCAGGTAAAGGAATTCACATGCAATTTTTAAAAATCACTGGCCTTGCCAAAGGAAACACAGAGGTGGGCCCATTTCCATGTCAATAGTTGCAAATACTGTTTTACATGGTGTTAAAACATAAACGCTCTTCAGAGATTTTAAAGGCTAAATGAAATATTTTTAATCTGAAGAGACCTATGAAAAGCCACGTTCACTTTAAAAGATGATTCCAACTTTTAAGTGAAAAACAAAAAGTCCTGATATTTTTCCCCTCTACATATTGAAAGGGGAACATCTTAACTTGTATTAGATGATGTGTATCTGCCCTCCCACCCCATCCCTTGGGGTGGGGGGAAGAGTTATCCTTTACCTCCAATAATACATGGTGTTTGAAACATTGTAGAAATGGTACGTAAATGTTTGTTGAATGAATAAATGGAGTTATAAGTAAAGCAATGCACTAGTGAAAGACCTTACTCTGGAGGTTATAAAACTGAGGGGGTTGGTCTTTAGCTCTAACCCTCCTCTTTCCATCCAGGATTTATCTCCCACCCCAAGCATCTGTGTAGGAGGCCAAAGACTTCAGTGCTATGACCTTCCTCAGCCCATTGCTCTAGAAGAGCACAAAGAACATGGGCAGCCTCCCAAGAACAGTTATGACAGAACTCGCTCCCAGCGGGTATCCAAGCGGACTTGGTCCTTTGGGAATGGGGCAAAGAAACCTCAGAGCTCATGCTGATAACTATTCAAACTCTCTGAGGTCATGGTTCGGAGAACAAAGAGGGGGTGCCCACCTCACATAGTTGTTAAGTAATACTGTGTATGTAAAAGGCTTAACGTAGTACCAGGCACATAGTAAGTGAAACTATGAACTCAGTGAGCTGTAGATATTATTATTACTTATTGAAATAGTAGGTGAAAATGTTAAAAATGGCCCTCACTAGGGTGGGTGTGGGGAATTAAGATAAACTGAAAGGCTGAGGAAAAACAAATATATTTCAATAGCTGTCTATAAAATCATTTTGGAAAAATTAGGGGTAGATAAGTGCTTAAGTAATGACAATTCCTTACATTTACATATAAATCCTTATCTATGCATGTACACACTTATATACACAGAGTTCCTCGGAGGAAAAGTTCACAGGCAAGAGTTGTTACCTTCAAGGAAGACTTGTACCGGGAACAGCAGCCTTGAAAGACTTAAACATTTTGCCATGTGTATCTACATTATCTATTAAAATTTATAACTTATTTTTAAATTAAATGCTGTTTATCTAAAATCTCTTCTAAGTTTTCCTGAGTTTGGATGAATCATGAAATTGAGAATGTCTGCTTTCAGCTTTTCTTGTCAGAGCCTGATACCACACCCTAGCACCTGATACCCACCACTGCGGCTGCTTCCTGCAGCCTGAGCTGGGCTCAATGCTCATCTCACCAATATTCACCAGGTTCCTCCTATATGTAATTAATACATTAACCAACTAAACTAGTACCTACTTGCATACTCCAATGCTTTAATGGTAAAAAATTTAGTTACTATGAAGGATGGCATTACTTCATTCCTCACTCGTGCTGGGCAGGTGAAATATTAGATTATTTATATTACATGTAACTCATCCAACATCCTTTCTCCCCACCCCCATTTTAAACTTGACCATTATCAGAAACAAAAGGACTTTTCTACTTTCTCAGTTGTATATCAAGTACACATTGTTTAAACAATTAAATGTGCACTGATTCATCATTTGCTATAGAAATGTTCTTTGCATATGTTGAAATGGAGACTGTTGTCCCATATGCAAAATTTACTCCTGTGCTTTTATTTTGGGTAAGAGTGTATACTTGGTTTCAGGCTTTTTAGTTGTTTTCTAGGCTACTTACTTCCGGTTGTACATTTTAAAAAGTAATGTTCTAATTATTTTTAAAATAATGTGTTCTTATTATTATAGAAAGACATTTTGGAAAGTAGAGTAAAACATAATGAATAAAATAAAAGCAAGCCCTAATTCCACATGAGCAGATAACTACTGTTACCAGTCTATATGTTTTTATACATAGTATTTTCTCTGAATTTTGAAGTCTCTAAAGTACATTTCCACTATCATGGGTAAATGTTAAAAATCTGACCTGGTTAAACATTGCAAAGATATTTTTATTAAAAACGCCTGTATTATTATAGAATTGCAAGGTATGTCTGGATATAAAGAGAGAAGGTGGTTTTAAACATACCCACAAATTCAGGGTTGTATGGGATCTTTCTGCAAAAAGCTGTATCTGGGTTCCGTTACATAACCGCTGGCCGTCTATCACACATGACACTCAGGCTGACTTCCAGGGCAAAGCCTCCTCACCCAGTAATCTTGTACCCTGGCCTTGCACAAATATTTGGGCATGAATGGAATCTGCAGGGTCCTTGACAGGTGGCTTATGTAAATAATGGTGCATGATCCCAGGCAAGGGAGGAGTGAATCAGCATCAGGGGCCCGGGAAGGGCAAAGAGGAACTGTAAGCAGGTAATTGGAAGCCTGAGGGCGTGGTGACCTCATCATCATTATTTATTTTTTCTTATTTTACTTCTCGCTGTTTTCACCCACTTGGGAGAACAATCTCGATCCCCTCCTCGCGTCACCTCTGCAAGGCAGCTTCCCAAGCAGCGGGCAGGCCTCAATAAAAGGCCGGTGGGCGTGTTCCTGCCCGAGGCGGCAGTTGGACCGCCGGGAGGCTGGGGAAACCATCCCACACCGGAGCAGCGACTATAAAGAGGATCCCGGCTGCAGGCGCGGGGCAGCTCTGGGCTTCGCAGGAGGACACACAGGCCTCGCAGGTCTAATCCGTGCCGAGTTTCCGTCCGGACACCACGAAGATGGCACCCATTGGGGGGAAGAAGGCCAAAAAGGTGAGTCTTGGGGAACCCAGAGCGCTCTTGTCTGTCCTGGAGCCCGCCCGAGCCCAGCTGTGAGAAGGTGCTCCCAGAACTTCTGCAAGACCCTCATGCCTGCCCACGCCCAGGGCTCTCCCTAGATCTCTTGTCACCCTACTCGAGGGCGCCCCCTGAGCTCTGAGTCTCCCCACCATTCTGAGTCCTGCATGCACTCACCCAGAGGAGAGCTCCAGGCTCACGGGCGGGACTTCCCTCCCGGGGTCCTGTGTGTCTGCTCTCCCGCAGTCGCTCCTCTGCACCCCCCACCGGCCCCACAGGCTGGCACGGCGCGGGCGCAGGCTCTGACAGTTTCCAGCACGCGCCTCCCCCACTGTGGGGTCTCCGGGTACCTCCCTCCTTCACGGTTATATTTGCAGCTTCATGGTTGGACAATGGTACGTTTTACTCCAATGGACAATTTTACTTCTCGCTGTTTTCACCCACTTGGGAGAACAATCTCGATCCCCTCCTCGCGTCACCTCAGCAAGGCAGCTTCCCAAGCAGCGGGCAGGCCTCAGTCAAAGGCTGGTGGGCGTGTTCCCTGCCCGAGGAGGTTTGGTTTCAGCGATGAAGACCCAAGTGCACCAGGAGGGCCTCGAAATGGGCAAAAATGGGCCCATAAGATACCGTGGAAGGGCTGTTACTAAGATTTTTAAAACAGCATCTCCAGCGCCTGATTAGTAACAAGCACATATCTTCTCTTGTTGGACCAGTGTTCTGGTTCAGGCTCCTCTAGTTTGGTGGAAGATGGATGGAGACCGACCTCAAAACTATGGCTGGGTGTAAGGAAAGAAAAGAATACAGGGAGAGGGAATTGGTTGTCAAAGCACAAGGCCAACTGTACCTGCTTAGCTGTGAGGACCATGAGGGCAGGACTTCTCATCCTCTCATTGCCAGCCATTCCCCCCCAGACCTCCACAAAAGAAAAGGCTAACTCACCTAAAAGTTTTAAATGCCATGCAGCATTAATAAATGCTGAAGATGTTGAGAGGCAAATTAGGTTGAGAATCTTTGCCAATCCATATATCTACTAAATGAATAGTTGATGTAGACAGGAAAGGATGGTTCCTATAGAGATTTTAAAAATGTTTTGTTTTGTTTTGTTTTTAGTTTGGCTCCATTCTCATAGCCATAGATTCTAACCAACTGCAAACTCAGAAAATGAAGCATTTTAAAGGATTATCTTTAAAGAATTATATAAGCAAAAGATAGACACAAAATGGAAAAAAAGTTTCTTTGGTGACCTTATTTCCATGTATATGCCAGTGTTAAAACATAGACAATAATATGTCTATATTTTTTAGTTTAAAATTATATGTTACAAAGCTAACATATTCATTGAAAACAGCTTGGAAAAGACTTATGAACATCATCAGCCACATTTTAGTGTATATTCTGCTAGTTTGCTGTCTAGGCAAATATGAACTTTTACTAGTATACAAAAATGGTCTGATATTACAGATACTGTTTTGCAATACTTTTTCACAAAACAATATCTTGAGAATTTTATAAATTTTTAAAACATATCTTTATGGTTGAAAGTATTACAAATGTCCCCTTTGTTTTATTTCCCATTGACCCCTTCTCCCTGCACCGGCCCCTCTCAGGCCTCCATCACTCTTTTGTCTCTCTCCATGACTGCATATAATTTCCTGGTTAATCTCTCCTCCCCCACCTCTACCTTTTTTCTGAAGTTCCTCAGTCTGTTCCATGCTTCTATGTCTCTGGATCTATTTTGTTCATCACTTTATTTTGTTCATGAGATTCCACATACAAGTGAGATCATGTGATAAGTTATCTTTCTCTTATTGGCTTATTTTGCTTAGCATAATACTCCCTAGGTCCATTCATGCTGTTGCAAATGGTAAGAGTCATATATGACAAACCTACAGCCAACATCATACTCAATGGGCAAAAACTAAAAACACTTTCCCTAAGAATAAGGGCATGACAGAGATGTCTGCTTTCATCACTCTTATTCGACATAGTAATAGACATCCTAGCCACAGTGGTCAGTCAGGAAGAAATAAAAGGCATCCAAATTGGAAAGCAGGAAGTAAAACTGTCATATTTCACAAGTGACATGATATTGTACATAGAAAACCCTAAACACTCCACCAAAAAATCTGCTCAATTTAATAAATGAATTCGGCAATGTAGCAGCATACAAAATTAACACCCAGAAATTGATGGCATTTTTATACACTAATAATAAACTCTCAGAAAGAGAAATGAAAAAACAATACCATTTACCATTGCAACAAAAAACTTAAGATACTTGGGAATAAACTTAACTAAGGAGATAAAAGACCTGTACTTGAAAAACTCCAGAACGTTGAAAAAAGAGATAAAAGAAGATATATAAACAAGCTGAAGAAGATACCATGTTCATGGATTAGTAGAATCAACATCATTAAAATGTCTATATCTTGAGAATTTCTTCATAGCACATTCCACTTTAAAAAAAAAAAAAAAGCTGTTTAGCTTTGGAACAAAAATGTCTGAAGTCCAGGTAATTAACAAATGCATTAGAATCTAAGACATTGTTTTTCCAGATGTAATTGTTCAACCAATTTATAAACAACATGGTAATGGAATCACCATTAACCACTCCACCAGAAAATATTAAATTCTTAGCTATGCTTTGTATTTAAATATTTGTGGTACTAGAATTTGAAAACACACGCATGTTCAATGAGAATTGCTAAGTGACTGAACAGAAATATGAGTTATTTCAATCAAATGAAAGTTAGTAGCAAGTCATCTCTTATTTATTTGACTTTTGCTTGTGTTTTTATATAACTGCTCTGACTAGCAATACACACACACACACACACACACACACATATACACACACACACACACACACACACACACATATATATATATATATATATATATACACACACACATATATATATTTATATTGTTAATTGGGTCATAAAGTTGTGTTAAGATATGGCATTTGGGTACATTGAACTCGTGACATATTTGATTTTCAAAATTACATGTGATCAATTCTGTATTGTTGTAGTGGTCTGTTATCTTGTGGATTTTTATGCTTGAAAATTTTTCTAGCTGGAAGGGACATTAGGGAACATATAGCATGGCCCTTCTATTTTACTGCTTTAAATTGAAAATGTTAGTTGTGTCTTCTCTCTGAGCACTAGCTGACCAGATGGCACTGGATAGGCAGTAAAGGGGAAGAGGATTAAAATGAGGGAGGCTCCAAGAAGGTGGCCAGGACATGGGATGCAAAATTTTATGAACAGCCTCACCAAATTTATGTAACCCTTGTTATTATATCAGCATTTGTTTTACCCACTGTTATTGGTAATAATAAATGGAACACAATAGGTAAGTGCATACCAACTTATTCCTTTCATAGTCTTTTCAGGGCTGTCCAACCCTCCACACCCCCATTTAAAACTGAATGTAGGTACCACTTACGAATAAAAGATCAGGAGGCCTTATACTCCCCACCTGGCAGACTTTGCGTAAATTCTTAGATTCTGGGCCTTAATGCTTCATTTATAAAACCAGGGGAAATGACCTAAATTGAATGCAGGTATTTTTATTGTTAAAGTCTATGATTCTTTTAAATTAAAAAGAAATAGTTACACTAGAAAATTACTTTCTAATTTACAAAGCCCTTTAAAAATATTCAGGTCAGCCAAGCTGGTGTAGCTCAGTGGTTGAGTGTTGACCTATGAATAAGGTAACCAGATCTTCCCGATTTTGGCGGGACAGTCCAGATTTTAAACAATTTTTTCCGCGTCCCGCGGCATTTTAAAAAATTCCTGATTTTTGTAAAGAATCTTTCCAATCTTTCCAATCTTTCCAAAAATCGGGCCTTTTTTTTTTTTAAATGCCGCGGGACGTGGGAAAATTGTTAAAATCTGGACTATCCTGCCAAAAGCGGGATGATCTAGTCACCATACCTATGAAACAAGAGGGCACAGTTCAATTCCGGTCAGAGCACATGCCCAGGTTGTGGGCTCAATCCTCACAGAAGGTGTGCAGGAGGCAGCCAATAGATGATTATCTCTCAACATTAATGTTTCTAACACTTTCTCCTACTCCCTTCTCTGAAATCAATAAAACTATATTTAAAAAAATTAAAAATATTCAGTTCAAAATACTTCTATTAAACAATAATGACTGGGTAATTATTACATAGTACTGTAAATTATTGGAATAGTATGGAGATTGGGCTGGAAATCAGTTTACAAATACTTTATTTACTTGTCTTTCTCCTGTTCTTGTCATGTTGCACTTATAGAGTGCAACACGCATGCTCATAACCTCTTGGACAGCATAAAGTAGCTGCTATTGCAGAAACAGAGTATTAACATCAAAGATAGAAGACTTTAAGGGATTTGACCACCTTTGAGGTTGTATTCTTTTCTGTCTTTATCAAGTGTCTTCTAACTTTTCAGTCTTCAAAATGCCTTCACCATTTTAAGAATGTGTGCTTAAGTTTTCATTTGAGGATTTACAACAAATCCTCTTTATTTAATCCTTCTTCAGGTATTTCTTCAAACATAACATCCTCGCACATTCTTCAAAACTCTTTAACGTGTCCTGAAAGACCACCACCCCGGACACATGCATACACAAATTTTCATTATATGAGCATGTTGGCTGTTTGCCTTATAGACAGTACCATGAATTTATAAACTATACATTGCACTTCCTTAGAATTCTAAAGAAATAACATTTCTCAAGGATATGACAGCAAAAGTTAAAGATAAGTTGTTATATCTAAAATTAAAGAAAATTGTCTAAAAAACTCAAGTAGCTCCTTACCCCCCTCTCCCCCATCTGTAATTTCAGGGCATCCTTGAACGTTTAAACTCTGGAGAGGTCGTGATTGGAGATGGAGGATTTGTCTTTGCCCTGGAGAAGAGGGGCTATGTGAAGGCAGGACCCTGGACCCCGGAAGCTGCTGTGGAGCACCCAGAAGCAGGTTGGTGCCTTGCTCTATTTCAGGGGTGGGAACGTCCAGCCCACGGGCCATGTAAGGCCTGCAAAATCATTTGGTCTGGCCCTTCCAAGGCATTAGGGGTGAGTTAATTAAATGTTTGACCAAATACAGCAGGCTAATTTTTTTTTTTAAATCAATCTTTATTGTTCATATTATTACAAAGGTTCCTCATTTCTTCCCCCCTCCACCAGGTTCCCACCCCACCCTCCGACCCCTCCCCATCCCCCATTGTCCTCATCCATAGGTGCACAGTTTATGTTCAGTCTCTTCCTCCCTCCCTTTCCCCGATAGTAAATCCCTTTTCAGATAGTAAATCAGTTACTTAGCATTTTCTCAAATCAATAATACCTCCACATGCCCAATGATACACTTCACACAAAAGACATTTCCCAATAGGTCCACCAGCCTCATCCAGGCCCCACCCAAGGCACTCACAGATCAACACCCCAGCCCTATACTAACTCAACACATCCAGATCTAAGCCTTCATCACTTGATTCAGCAGACCCTCAAGTTCCCGCAAAAGTTTCCAGCCATGTCTGAGAGGCAGCCGTGGGGCAGGGGCAGGCGAGGAGCGAGCTGTTCCGGGCCTGGCTGCTCAGGGCCTGGCCTCTGTTGTTCTGGTTCATTCCACAACCAGCTGCTCCGGGTCTGGTCACTGCCACTCCCAACCTAGTTGCTCTGGACTTGGCTGCTGCTGCTCCGGGCCTGGCCGCTCCCAGCCTGGCAGCCACTGCTCCAGGCCTGGCCGCACCCGACCCGGCTGCTCCCCCGGGCCCAGCAGGCTAATTTTTAAGTGCATAATTTTATATGCTATAAATATCCAAATGGCCTTTGTCAGAAAAAAAGGTTCCCCACCCTTGCTCTATTTAAACTTTTTTTATAAAAGAGCACTATATTGACTCAAGTCTAGGTGCATACCATCAAACAGATGCATTCATGCCACATTTTCCAAATATTTACTAATGCCTGCTGGGCACTGTGCTACATATGTAAATATGGATCCACATGTTGAGTAAGCAAACAGTCCTCTATATTACTGTCACCTATGTTTACCACTTGGTTCTGACCCTTACTGTGGGTAAGTCTAGTACCTGGCTCTCTGCCTTCCTCTGTCCCTCTCTCCCTCACCTCTCTAGGTGACTTCAGTATCCATACAGATAATCCACTTAGCACTCCCTCTGCTAGTGCCTTGATCTCCTCGTCATCTCCAACTGAACTCTTCCTCCACCCTCTCAGCAGCCCCGTCCTAGACCTTGCCATCATCAATAGCTGTCCATCTCTGAAATCTCAATTACCAGAACTCACTCTTTGGCCACCTATCTTTTCTGCTCACTCACTCTTACACTGCCACTCCCCAATCTCATCAAAGCCCTCAGTCCTTCTTCCCTCCCACTTTAGTGCTTATTACCCATTCGCCTGCATATGTCTACCTTCCTTCCTTAACTACTTTAAGTTAAATGGTACATGGTACAATATCAATCATAGCCTTGCAGATAGGCCCTCCTCCACTGTATAGGTGCCAACTAGTTAACTGCATTGTATACTAGCCCACCCTATTTAAATTTGACTTTCTACCTATCCTGCACCTATACCCATACACCTATTCTCACTTACTTTTTTAAATCACAAATCTTTTATGGTTAGGAGGGTGGAGGGATGGAACCTGAGGGAGTTTATATGTATATAGATAATGTCTCCCAGTTATATATGCACAGAGCATAGTTAGATATTACCCTTGTAAATTTTCTTGAGAAATGCAAGTCTTTGGAATTCCACAGCAAACTCTAAAAGGTCAAATAAAATTTTGCAGTATTTCTTCAGTGGGATAATAAATTTGCAGAAAATTCATTTGGAGGCAAAATGTGACCTGCACTAATGTGAGGATATTTATAACTGTATTCCCTTTAATGTGCTTAGTCATATATTTTGATGTAAAATAAGTATTAATGTGTTTGACGGGGGGGGGGGGGGGGAGGAGAAGGAGAGGGGGGCGCTAATGAGAGTGTTAGATAATATATGGCATATACTATATACTATAATTACTTTCTAAAATCCCCAAAATTCTGGATTCCAAGATACATTTAGTCCCAGAATGCCTTGGGTAAGGAATTATAGACCTGTAGTATACCTTTCCCTTTCTCACCATTTCTAGCACAAAAAAGTGAAGCCTAGGTACCAGTCCTATAAAAATATTTCAGGTGTAGTCCAGTTTTCTGGGAAGCTTTTCAGGGCCTATCTCAAGTCTAGCTATCACTCAGCTTAATTTAGAAAAGCACCTGCAGGTACACACAGTCATTTACATAAAATAGCATGAAAACTGACCACTGCTCTCTTTCAGAGCATGCATTCTTTAAATACCTTTAATTTCCTCAAAACACTAAATACACCTGATGTCCTGTGAGGCACATAGAAGACTACCTAGCAAATAGTGGTGATAATGATGATGATTTGCATTTATGGTTAATAAGAATAAATTTTAATTAAAGTGACTACATAATTCATGTCTTGCTGTATTTTCTCAATTAACAGACAAATGTATCACAAGTAAGGTCTTTTCTAATTATTTAGACATTAAAAATAGACATTTGTCCTCAAGAAACCCCAGTGCTGTAGGGCACACAGACTCATGGAATTTTGAAACTCCCTTTGCCTTGTAGAGTTAAAGAAATTGCTGCCTTAATGGGGTGGGTAAATGGCTTGCCCAACATCACACAGTTCACTGTAGCTGAGTCAGGAAGATTCCAGGTTCACTGACCTCTTGTGCCTATGATCTTTCCCCCTACACACAGTGCCACATTAAAAAATGGCGAGGATGTAAGAATTTTAAAGGATACCCACTCAGCAACTTAGTCAAAAGAATGGGTAGCATTTAGCTTCTATAATGCTAAGATAAAACTAATGTAACAAAGAGCTTAAAGCCATAACATGAATATAACTAATTAGTACAGGTTTGTGTCCTTGTCCTAGAGACTGGTCACACCCAATTATTTGTTAGAGAAGGAAGATGCAGGAGTTTTGGGATGAAAGAAAACAGAAAATAGAAATTAAAAAGATACCCAGAAATTACCAGACTAATTCTCCTACTGAAGTTCATGTCAGAAGTTGTGGTTCTTGTACCCAGTGGAATCAACATTGAATTCAGCAAGGAATTAGAGTTTGCTGGATCTGGAGGGGCTTGGCGCATCTGGATTCATAATTGATCCCCAGTGAGTCTCTGTGTGGGTACATTTTGAGAAGCACTTCAATTTTAAGAAGCATGGTGGGACAATCTAATCAACTAAGAATAATGAGTTGGGCCACTGCCCTGTGGAAAATCTGATAAAAGTGTATGGAGCTGAAACCGGTTTGGCTCAATGGATAGAGTGTTGGCTTGGGGACTGAAAGGTTCCGGGTTCGATTCCGGTCAAGGGCATGTACCTTGGTTGCGGGCATATTCCCAGTAGGGGGTGTGCAAGAGGCAGCTGATCGATGACTCTTTCTCATCGATGTTTCTAACTCTCTATCTCTCTACCTTCCTCTCTGTACAAAATCAATAAAATATATTTTTAAAAAAAGTGTATGGACCCTCTGCATTGTGAATGTACAGCTACACAAACAATTTGCACACCATTCCAGGATTTGTTTTTGCAGAGCCTCTGGAATACACCCAAGGACGACCTGGGTGGGCTTCCTGTTTATAAGCCGTGTGGCTCTGGTGTACAGGCACCTGGCCTACAGGCTCTGCACCCCAGCTGCAGCAGCTCATCTGATTCATGCATGGGGACTCCACAGAAGATGCTTCTAATTGCTTCTGTTGCTAATTAAAATAAGTAGGAACCCCTTAATTTAAGCATCCTTTTAAATTCCCATTGAGAACTAAAGTTTCCATGATTTAAAAACAAAGATTTGGCTTCAAGCTTAGAAACCCATTTTCTGAAATTCAAGAGCTTCTTTGCCTCACTTACTTGTTCGTTTAAAAACCAAAATCAAGCTTCCTATGTTCTCTGCGGTCTACTAGGCACCTGGGATGCAAAGATGCCAGACTCATCTCTCATCTCCAGTCTTAGCCGTGAGGGCTAAGAATTCCAGTGACCTACTAACTTCCTGGCTTCCAGGGTAGTTGCTTCCAGACCTTTGGATTTTACAGGCTCTGGAATTTCAAAATAAATGTCAGAGGGTAGTACTAGATTGCTGATTTCTTACTTTGCCCAGTTAATTCCCCTGACAACGCAAATACCAGCTAAATCTACCATTTTATAAAATGAGCATTTTCCCACCCTCTAGGAATGGTGGTTCTCAAGACTGGAAATAAGAATTAGTTAGGGAACCTTAAAAAAAAAAAAAAGTCTGTGGTTGGCCCCAAACCAATTAAATCAGAATACTGTGGGATTACCCTCACATTCATAAACTTTTAAAAGCTTACAGGGTATCTACTGGGCAACCAGGGGTTAGGATCACTATTTTAGAGCAAAGGTTATATAATTTTTTAACTTGAATACACTTTGTTACATGGGAAAATTTTTTATCATGTTTCCTCTAACCTGGGAAAGCTTTGCTTTTTGGCATTCATCATGGATATATTTGGGAATTCTCCAATTCTTTGCTCCAATTCTCATCCCACTCATTTTTCAGAAATGCTGAGCTAATCACATCACTCCATTGCTTACCAGCTGTTGGTTTTGCCCCAACATTTGTGGTCTGGAGCCTAGACTCCTTGGAATGGTGTGCTATGCCATTCATACAGTCTGCCCAGTCCACCTTCCCAAATGCACCTACCGCCACTTCTCCAACACATCCTCAACTCCAGCGGCTCAGACTACCTGCTGTTCCCCCAAAGGCCACGCTTGTTTCCGTATCCTTGTCTTTGTTCAGGCTGTACCCTCGGTAGAGAATGCCCTTCCCTACCTCATCACCTGGCAAAAACGCTGAAATGATTCCCCCTCTCTGGGACCTCCCTCTTTTCTTCACCCCACTACATGAAATCTCTTCTTCCTAGCAAGAGACCCCAGATCCACCTCTCAATTATCCAACAGGAGGCATGAATGCCAAGCAATCAGGAATTTCAGATGTTTTCATATTTATCTTAGAACCTGGGTTAATAAACTGATAGCAATTAATGCCTTTCTTATTGAATCTCCCAGTTCGCCAGCTTCACCGAGAATTCCTCAGAGCTGGATCCAATGTCATGCAGACCTTCACCTTTTATGCAAGTGAAGACAAGCTGGAGAACAGGGGGAACTATGTGGCAGAGAAAATATCCGTGAGTAAACCTTACACGGCATTCTCAAAAGAGTGCAAAAGACACACATCATCAGCAAAGTTGACAGAGAAAAACGTTGAGCCTCTGCAGAGTTTGGTTTAATCCTATATAATAAAACCCTAATATGCAAATTGACCAGATGAGAGAACACCGGTTGCTATGACACACATTGATCACCAGGGGACAGACGCTCAATGCAGGAGCTGCCCCCTAGTGGTCAGCATGCTCCCACAGGGAGAGTGCCGCTCAGCCAGAAGCCGGGCTCAAGACTGGTGAGTGCAAGGATGGTGGCAGGAGCCTCTCCCGCCTTGCAGCAGCACTAAGGACCCCTCAGGATCTGTCCACCTGCCAGTTTAGGCCTGCTTCCTGCGGGGAACAGGACTAAGCCACCCAAGGGGTCCACTACTGTGAGAGGGAGCAGGCTGGGCTGAGGGACCTCCCCTCTAGTGCATGAATGTCATGCACTGGGCCACTAGTTTTAAATAATACAACAATGAGATATTTGTGCATAATACTTGGGTTTGATCTAGAGTCTCCCAAAGTGGCAGAAAGATATTTAATGATTATTTCAGCTCCTAAGTGGGTATCCTTATAACTTTTTTTATCATCAATTTTTTTAAATATGTTCTAGTATAGGAGAAAAGTCATAGGTACAAGAAGTCAGTGAACTTTTTTTATCATCAATTTTTTAAAATATGTTCTAGTATAGGAGAAAAGTCATAGGTACAAGAAGTCAGTGAACCTGGAATCTTCCTGACTCTGCTACAATGAACTGTGTAATACCTACCCTATCAAGGGGCCAATCTCTTCATCTCTACTATGAAAAGACAGTTTCAAAATTTCATGGCTCTCTGTGACCTACAGCACTGGGGTTTCTTGAGGGTGTGTTCATTTTTAATGTCTAAGTACTTAGAAAAGACCTCACTTGTGTTACATTTATCTGTTAATTGAGAACATACAGAAAGACATGAATTCTGTAGTCACTTTAATTGAATTTTATTTTTATTTGTCTTAAAGACAAATGATCATTCTTATTACCACTATTCTTCTAAGTGCAACTTTGGCATTGGGAGATACCAGATCTTTTCATGTAAAGACTTTTACCCTCTCATAGATCTTTGGTATAATGTGATGTCCTAGATTCCACCATTGGATTTATTTTGTTTTCAACACTATTGTCATTGTGAATTGCTCAGCTTGGTAATGCATTGAACCATTCCAACACTGCCATTCTCTGGAATCAAATCACTATTGTAACATACAACTTTAGATGGGGACATCTGAATAATAATTTTGTTTCAGTTTCACATAAAAATGTAGATGTATCATCTACTCACCATTTTAGGGGCAGAAAGTCAATGAAGCAGCTTGTGACATCGCCCGGCAAGTGGCTGATGAGGGAGACGCTTTGGTGGCAGGAGGCGTGAGCCAGACACCTTCGTACCTCAGCTGCAAGAGTGAAACGGAAGTTAAAAAAGTATTTCAGCAACAGTTAGAAGTCTTCCTGAAGAAGAATGTGGACTTCTTGATTGCAGAGGTAAACAAAGACATGATCAAAGATGAGATAAGTGCACTTAGTCCATTTTCCCTGCCGACTGCTTTCATCAGGACCATGTGAGATTAGGTGCTAATCATGACTAGTAATAGTAATATTTAGTTTTGAAATCTTTTTCCAATTTAGAGCTTTAATTAAATTTGATTCAGTTAATCTAATGTAGTGTTTTTCAAATGTTTGTACTGCAATTCACAGTGAGAAATCACCATTCTATTCTGTTTTAAGAAATGCTAATGGTACTCAATTTCAAATTCTCAGTATGCAAAACATTTCAAACTCAGAGTTTGAAAATCACTCATCTAATTTAATTATTAAGCAATAGAATGCCTTTTAAAATTGTTCTAGAGAAACAAGATTAAAAGCACTTTTTGTATTTCAGTATTTTGAACACGTTGAAGAGGCTGTGTGGGCGGTCGAAGCCTTGAAAGCCTCCGGAAAGCCGGTGGCAGCGACCATGTGCATTGGCCCCGAGGGAGACCTGCACGGCGTGACCCCCGGCGAGTGTGCAGTGCGCCTGGTCAAAGCAGGTGAGGATGGATTGTCATCAGTGTGCAATTAGTGAGACTTTTAAAATAACATACAAATGCAGGTCCATCTATGGATCACTATATACTACTTTTATTAATAGGAAAACCATTAATTTACCTTTTTTTAAGGACTATTGATATATTATTAAGTCTTAAAGAGAAAAATGTAAAAAAAAAAAAGACATACACACACACACACACACACACACACACACACACACACACCAGTCTTTTGAAAGGAGTAAGTAGGCTTATATTGAAAGTTTAACAATTAGGAACGGGAAAGAATTTAAGCAACTCAAAAGGAGCATTCAGAAAATTTGTGTTTTATTTCAAACTTATCTCCAGATGAGGTCTTTAAACATTAGTAACTGTTAGATCCAGTTGCCCTCTTTGCCAGTTTTTCCACTCTTGTAAGTTACTGGTATGCTTTGCTTTTTTGTAACTGACATAATAAATTTTAAAAATCCTTTGATATGAAATATTGACCACCTCATTTATCTTATATAATTTTCATTCCTAATGTCGTATTTCATTTTAATTCAGGAAAACATTGTTTTCAAATCTGCCTTGTGTTAAACTCAAGGAAGAGCTCAGTGTCAGTGGAAGAGCCATTTCACTCTGTAAAGAGACTTTGATTAACTAGTTCTTTAATTTCTGATTTTTATCCAGCTCCTGATATTTCATAGAAGTCACTTTTATTTGTCATTGACAATAACAATTATTTAGGAATAAAGTTTTATAATACTAATTTTTGATCGGTATAGAAATGGAGGGTGATGGTGGAAATGAACTTGTTTCAGAAAGATCAGAAGAGACCTTAATCATCGCCATTGTTAACTAGCAAGGATTCTTGGCTTGCATCTCATCTTTCTCTCATCATTCTGTTCAGAATAGGTGGCCACAGTGTTTGAAATCACTGTACCCTATTTATATCCTTTGTAGCACTTCTCACTTATCCCACTTGTATATTGCTTTAATGTCTGACTCTCTCACTAGACTGTAAAATCTAAAAGGGCAGACACTCTAGTCTCAGCATTGAGTACTCTGTGCCTATTACATAGTAGGTCCTAGCACAGTGCCTATTTCATAGTAGGTCCTGAATAAATATCTGCCTAATAAATATATCTAATATCCATCTAATAAGTCTATCTTCCAATGTTAGTTCAAATTCTACCTCCACATACCCGAATATAATCATCCCTACCCCAAGTATCATTCCATCTTTTTGGGATCTATAACCATTTCTATTTATACTCGTTATTTGGAATATCCTCAGTTGACATTTTGTAGTCTATAGAGTGTCATAGGGTTATGTAGTCAAATACATTTAGAAATGCTATGTTAAACCAAGTTAAGCAAGTTTCTTTACTATAGAACTTCTCAGAGCCTTTGATATGTTCAGGTATATTGGCAATGTCCAAGAAGGGGATATAGCAAACAGCTACTGTCTAACTTAATGGATCATAGAACTTATTTTCATGGAGTAAACCTGAGAGCCCTGTGCTGAGTTATAAAATTACAAGGACCCTTTTACCTAATAGACATCCAATAAATAGCTAACATATGATTAATTAATTAGCATAATGAAGTCAGTCAAGGAAAGAAAAATCCTGGCAGCACATCATCCAAAAGGAAAAAAAAAAAAAAAAAGGTAATCAAGATCCAAGTGAAGATGTTAAGTAACCTTTTAAATATACAAGTCTGGAACCCAAAGAAAAGGTCAGATTAGAGAGAGAAATTTAGGGGAGTTCTATATAGATGGTATTGAAGGCCCTGGTGCTGAAAAGAAGGTGTAGGTGAAGAGCAGAAGATGGGATCCTGGGACACTCAGGGTTGAGTGGTCCAGCCTTGTGGAGGAGTGGGCATGTAACACCCTCAAAAAGCAGCCAGGGCAAGAGAAGCAACACTTAAGGAGTGTGGGAAGTTCTCAGAAGCTAAGAGAAGGGGAGTGAAAGAGGGAGGGATGAAAGAGGGAGGGATAAAAGAGGGAGGGATCCAATAGATTGAATGCTGCTGAAAGGTAGAGTAAATGAGAACAGAGAAGGGATTACTGGATTTGGTAAGATTGAGGTCACAAGTGCCCCTTCAAAAGCTGATTCAAAGGAATGACCATGAGGGCAGCCTGATAGAAAAAGAATAAAGTGCAAACTGCAGACCCAGGCCAGGGAGGACCACTGAACACTGGATACCACAGCTTGTGGCATCAGCTCTGCTGCTCCTGGACGCAGGATTAGCAAAATCACTATATTGGCCTGATGAAAGGGAACATCGATTTATTCCTCAGACAGTGGTATGATAAACACGGGTACAATCTAGCAGCTGGGAGTGCTGAAAAATTATTGTGCTTGCAATATTAGTGTCAAAAACTGAAAAACTGACTACTAAAATTTGAAGTTAAAAAAAACCCTCTAATAATGATTAAAAAAAAAAAAAAAAAAAGATGTACAGCTAAGTGTGCATAAAATGACACTTCAATTATACCAGACTCTTCAAAGCACTTTTCACAGAAAGTGCTTGCTGCCTGTTAGCAATCCTTCTTGCTCAAAGGTAAGATGGATTTGCAGAGAGCAGGGATCAAATGCTATACTTCCAAATTCATCTGAGTAAGAGTGTATTTTGGTGAATCCCTAAAGCTAAAACGTTCTTCCCACTTGCAGGAGCTTCCATTGTTGGTGTGAACTGCCATTTTGACCCCACAATTAGTTTGCAAACGGTGAAGCTCATGAAAGAAGGCCTGCAGGCTGCTGGGCTGAAAGCCCATCTGATGAGTCAGCCCTTGGCCTACCACACTCCGGACTGTGGCAAACAGGGATTCATCGATCTGCCAGAATTCCCCTTTGGTAAGACAGACGTTCAACACACTATCTCTGATGTCTTTATGTTTGACACATTCCAAATAAATCTGTAGCCCATAGAGCTGTACCACAGTAAAGAAATGTATGCCTATCTCCTCAACTCTAGCGCCCAGCTTTTCTTCCTGCAGCCACAAATCTCTTGTTATTAGATAGTCATAAAAGGAAAAGGGATCGGCAAACAAAGATGACCTGAACTCAAATGTAAAATAAAAACTGAACCAACAGCTATATAGGCAACCAGGTAGTCATACTTGTGGGTTAGTTAAAAAGGATGCCCGTATAGGTAGGATCGGCAAAGATTTTCATACTGGTTCCAGCTCTGTTGCTAAGTTGTGTAACCTTAGCAAAATTCCTTAGTTCCTCTGATCTTAATTTTCTCATCAGAAAAATAAGACAGTTAGAACCAGGTAGCCTCCAAGATCCTTTTCTCCTATTTTGAATGGTGCTCAGGTTTGGGGGTGGAGGGAAGATACCGCTGGGCTACTGTATGACAAATTTGAATGAAGAGACCACGCAGTGAACTGAGGGCACTCTTGCAGCCTAAGCAGAAGGATAAAGTCTTTTCGTGTGTTTTGAGAGTGGGCATGAGTCTACCTTGAAAATCAACCCCAGGGATATTAGCAAGGCCTGAGCTGTTCCATTCTAAGGTCTCTATACTATATTCTGTATCCTAAAGGGACCCTCGGAGAAGTAAGATATTATAAAATAATCACTCTAGGAGAACCATGGAAGAAGAATGGCAAAACATTTGTGTTACTTATTGCTGCATAACAAATTACTGTAAAAATTGGTATCTACAATCTCCTAGTTCCTGTGCATTATGAATTCAGGAACAACTTAGTTGGGTGGTTTTTGCTCAGAGTCTTTTAAGAGGTTGCAGTCCAGACATTGGCCAGAGCTTAGTCATCTAAAGACCTGTGGGAGCTGGGGTGTCTACGTATAAGCACTCTAATTGACTCTTGGGAGTCTGTGTCAGTTTCTTGCTGTCTTTACTGGAGGCCTCAGTTCCTCAGCTCCTGGGCTTTCCACTGTGATGTTTGCGTGTTCTCGCGACATGGCACCTGGCTTTCCATATATATGTATATAGATAGATAGATAGATAGATAGATAGATAGATAGATAGATAGAGAAAATAGCTAACAATTTTGAAAAGTTAAGAATTAAATATTGACGACTTATTTAACTCATTTATTGAAGATTACATACTTAATATGGTTGTTCATTTAAAATATTTTGTAAGAAAGAATTTAATCATGATGTCATTTATTATAGGCCTGGAGCCCAGAGTCGCAACCAGGTGGGACATTCAAAAATATGCCAGAGAGGCCTACAACCTGGGGGTCAGGTACATCGGTGGGTGCTGTGGATTTGAGCCCTACCACATCAGGGCGATTGCAGAGGAGCTGGCCCCAGAAAGGGGCTTTTTGCCACCAGCTTCAGAAAAACATGGCAGCTGGGGAAGTGGTTTGGACATGCACACCAAACCCTGGATTAGAGCCAGGTAAGAACCTTTAAACTATATTTGCCAAACCAAACTCATGTAGATTAATTGTGAATACGTCCAAGTAAGGTCATCATAAAGAGTATAACTAATTTGCTGTGTGATGATAAAGAGTCAGTTATTCTCCTTAAATGATCTCACAGAGATGTCTATAAAGCATCCTGATGGAGCAATTTCTAGAGAGGGCTTTAGGAATATAGAATGTAAGTCATGTAAGTTGCAGTGAAGTATGATTTCATGCTCTAAGAAAGCACCATCCATGTGGTGGACCCTAACATTGATTGTTTAAGACTTAAGTATAACAAATACTTATTAAGTGCCTGCTCTGTGCCAAGCACAATTCTCAGAGCCTGGAATAAAGTGATGAAAAAGGTAGAAAAAGTCGTTGCCCTCAAAACTTACAGTCCAGTGGAGAAGATGAATAATAAACAGATTTTATGTCAGTGTCTAGGGCACTAGGAGGAGAGAAATGAAAAGCTGTGGTAGAAGGTAAAGGTGAAGGGGAAGGGGGAGGGGAAGGAGAAGGGGAAGGGAAAGTGAAAGGAAAGGAAAGGAAAGGGGAAGGGAAAGGGGAAGGGGAAGGGGAAGTGAAAGGAAAGGGAAGGGAAGGGAAAAAAGAAAGACTGTGATCTCTGGCTTAGGGATTCTCACAGTACACTGGGGAAAATGGATAAGAAAACCAATGTATTATACTGTGGTAATTGCTTTAATAATAGAAGCATGGGGGAAAAAATAACAATGAGGAGAAGTACTATTTGCCTTCAAAGAAAGATATTTTAGCAGAAGGGCCAACCTAGAGAAGGGGGTGGAGGGTGAGCACCCAAAGCAGAGGGAGCAGATCTGCTCTGTTCAGCTGACATTAATTGAGCACAACTATGTCAGACATTGTTGTGGACACTAAGGTAGCAAGCTGGACAAGGCACAACCCTGTCTCAAGGAGTTAACAGTCTAGTGTGAAGAGAGAAAAACAGGTAAGTTCAAACTGGCATAGAAAGTCCAAAGATAAGGATAGGCACAGGTTGTGAAGTGTGCGCTAATGGCCCATAGGGGCAAAAGGCAGAGGGGTTAATGAAGGGTTTTTAAGAGAGCTGCTGCCCAAGCTAAATTTGGAAGGGCGAACTACACTGTCAGACAGGAAAGAGCCTATAGGAAGGCACCCAGGTGGAAAAGAATGGCATATTGAAAAGCTAGAAGTTTGACAGCATGAAGGATTTGGTAGGAGATACAAACTAGAAAGAGGGGGCAGCCTTTTACACATGGTCATGAGCTAAATATGACCTCATCCCAATGGCAATGAGGAATCTGGAAGGTGGCAAGTGGTCCATTTGCAAGTTAGCAAGTAACCTGTGTGGAAGCCTTTGCTAGAATACCAGACGTGATGAGGCCTGAGCTAGAAGAGACAGTGGAGAAAGGAGGAGGGGGCAGGTCCACGGAGTGAGAGAGTGAAGGTGATGCTGGTGTGAGAAGAGCAGCAAATGTGGGTGGGCTCAGCTGGTCATGAGGAAATGATTGGGGAGGTACGGTAAGTCGGATAGAAAATATCCCTATTCTGATTCTTAGCTTTTGATCCGTATGCAGATGTTAAAAGAGAAAATTCAAAATAATTTTAAACACATAGATTCTGAAGGGAGAAAAGTTTGAGTACAGATTAATAAATGTGTTTTAATGGATATATAGTCTCAAGAGTGTAAAAAGGGTGCCACAGAGATATTCTACTTCAGTGATTCAGAGATCAGCTCAGGGAGAAATCTAATGTGTGTTTTGTTCACCCAGGGCCAGGAAGGAATACTGGGAGAACCTTCGGATAGCCTCAGGCAGGCCATACAACCCTTCAATGTCAAAGCCGGATAATTGGGGAGTAACCAAAGGAACCTCCATGCTGATGCAGCAGAAAGAAGCCACAACTGAGCAGCAGCTGAGAGAGCTCTTTGAAAAACAGAAATACAAATCTGCGTAGTAGCCTCAGTGGAACCCAATTTTGTGAATTCTTCTATGTTTGGGCCAAAGTTCTTACAAATAAGGAAAAGATGGTTAAAATGCAATGCTCCTACCAATGCTAGCCTATACATAAAATTGCTATGAGCTGACCAAAATAGAATTACAGATAGCACTTGACTATTTTAAAAGTATGTTTTAGAAGTTTCCTTAGAAGCAAAATAAGCATAAAGTAAATCTTAAGCAGGTTTACTAAGAACCCACTGTGTAGAAGGTATTAAGGAAATCGCTGTGGCCAAGGAAGAGTAATTCTGACATTAATCCCCACTCCAAGAAGCTTGCAGGCTAGTGAGGAGGATTAGACATGAACTGTCATAAATGGCTCTGTGACCAGATAGGAACAGATAAAGTGATATAGGGAAGTGACTTCCAAGCTCCTTTGAACATGACCCTTAGCAAGAAATACAATTTCACATAATGACCCAGTAAGGCACAAACCATACAACCACTGAAATAAAATGTGTGGTCTATTCTGGTATTTTGTGTTCCATTTCTTTCCATCTTATCCTACCTAATAAAAGAGTGATATGCAAATTAACCATCACTCTGCTCAAGCCACACCCACCACCAATCAGAACAAACATGCAAATTAATCCCAACCAAGATGGCTGCAGCCACAGAGAGCAGTTGAGAGGCTTGGGTTTCCCTGGCAGTAGAGGAAGCCAAGCTTTCCACACAACCTGGCCAGCCTAGGCCTCCACTCAAGGCTGCAAAGTTTCAATTATAGGAGGTAAACAAATCCAAACAGAAATGGCTGCAGCCATGGAGCAAGCAGGAGGCTTGACTTGCTCCAGGTTACAAAGTTTCAATTGTAGCAGGTAAATAAATTCCAGATACTACAGCCTCTGCTTGAGTCACCAGGGGGCATGGCCAGCCTGCAAACCACAGGCCCCTCGTCCAGGCCACCCCACACCCCAAGGGAACCCCCACCCTGATTCAGGACACCCTTCAGGGCAAACCAGCTGGCCCCTACCTGTGCATCAGGCCTCTATCCTATCTAATAAAAGAGTAATGTGCAGATTGACCACCACTCCAACACACAAGATGGCTGCCCCAATGTGGTCAAAGATCCTGCCCCTATGTGGACACAAGATGGCCACCACAAGATGGCCAGCAGGGGAGGGCAGTTGGGAGGCACCAGGCCTGCAAGGGAGGGCAGTTGAAAGGGACCAGGTCTGCAAGGGAGGGCAATTGGAGGTGATCAACCCTGTAGGGGAGGGAAGTTAGGGGTGTCCAGGCTGGCAGAGGAGGGAAGTTGGGGGCAAACAGGCTGGCAGGGGAGCAGTTAGACATCAATCAGGCAGGCATGGGAGTGGTTAGGGGGTGATCAGGCTGGCAGGCAAAAGCAATTAGGGGAAATCAGGAAAGCAGGCAGGCGAGCAGTTGGGAGCCAACAGTCCTGGATTGTGAGAGGGATGTCCGATTGCCTGTTTAACCTCCCTTGAGGGGTCCCAGATTGGAGAGGGTGCAGGCTGGGCTGAGGGACAACCCCCCCACCCCCTGCATGAATTTTGTGCACCAGGCCTCTAGTTTTATTAATAAAATATGCTGGTCAAGATCCTTCAAATTGACTTTTTGATCCATTTATAGGTTTTGGCCCATAGTTAGAAAACCACTGCTATGGGACACTTTGGCTAAGGGGAACTTTCCTATTTAAGTTTATTCTTAGATCACTGATCAATAAGTATTCAAAGCCCAGAGTCCTTCTCTCAGAGTTCCAGAGTTGTTTTCTTTTTGCTGATCCATTTCTACTGCTAAGAATATACCAGTCAATAGGGAGGGGGTGAAAAGGGATTGGCATCTAGGCCCTCTCCATTCTACCCCAAACTGAAGCCACCTAAATGCCTCCAGTAGGTATGCCTGAAGAGCAACAAGCATGTATTACTTTGGTAACTTAATAAAAGGATAATTTAAAGAAAAAAAAATAGAAAATCTCTAAACTCTATTCAGGTTTCCTAGATTGATAAATATGTGTTTACCTGATAAAACCTATGCTCTTATGAGAGCCCAAGCCTAAAGATGCAAGACCATTAGAATAACCAGGGCTACTCTTCATGTATTAGGTAAGAGTTCATGCTGCTTTCTAAATATCCTTGGATTGGTTAGCTGTTTAAAAATTTTAATTTCTTCAACTATCAAAAACATAAGAGCAATAAGACTATCTTGGTGATATTAGGTTATTATTTTCATTTTATAATTTGCTAAGTCCTATATGAAATTTCTATACCTCAATGTATCCATCAGTTAAAAAAGTAATAATACTTTTCTTCTTTACAAGTATGCTGGAATTTTAAAAGAGAAGGCAGGAGTATTAAAAAGGAAATGAAGTTTCTATAATGTTCTTACAAAGATAATTAGCAATTCATCCCTCACCCCCCAATGCACAGAAATGGAAGCAAAGCAACATAACTTTCAGAGGCTGCATATGACTGAAGTAAAATTAGAGAAGAATAAAATGCCACTTTTTTTGTTAATCCTCACTAAAGGATATTTTTTCATTGATTTTTTTAAATACATATTTTGATTTATTTCAGAGAAGGAGAGGGAGAGAGAGATAGAAACACCAATGATGAGAATCATTGATTGGCTGCCTCCTACACACACCTTACTTGGGATCGAGCCCACAACCCAGTTATGGGCCTTGACCGGGAATCAAATTATGACCTTCTGGTTCATAGGTCGATGCCCAACTACTGAGCCACATCAGCCGGTCTTTCCATTGGTTTTTAGAGACATGGAAGGAAGGGGGAAAAACTCAGAGAGAGAAACATAGATGTGAGAGAGACCCATCAATTGGTTGCCTCTTGCACAGCCCTGACTGGAGCCAGGGACTGAGCCTGCAATCTGATCAAGGGACATGCCCTTGATCAGAATCAAACCCGGAACCCTTCAGTCCACGAGCCAATGCTCTATCCACTGAGATAAACCAGCTAGGGCAAAATCATTTTTTTTTCTTTTACAAAGTTGTTATCTACCATTTCTCACTCTCAAATCAGATTAAATATGTAATGCTTTTTCATTCATGGATAGAAACTTTTTATTTGATTTATTGTCCTAGTACTGTGTAAGATGCTTGCCCCTTTGATATTCTTTTCAAAACTTTATTGCCACACAAAACGTTGTAACGTCTAACCTTTCTTAGATCCTTTGATTTGAAAAACATTCCCTCAAAAGGTATTATTTCTATTGAAGAGGTGCTTGAATAAACTATATGTCAACACTGCCTCCTAGTGGCATATTTCATATTTTGAAATTTTTTTGAAATGCAGACTATCCACCAAGTGCATTCATTTTATTTCCAAAAAATATTATTCATTAAAAGAGAAGGCTCATTTAATAACTCATTATTTATTTATGTTAAACATTTCTCACTGGTAAATATATTTTTATGGAAGCAGAGCTAAAAGTACTTTAGAGATCATAAGTCTAAACTCTCCCTTTTAAGGATAAGATTACTAAGTGAGGCAGGGTACCAGGTCAGGAAGAACTGCTAGTCCAAGGCTGCTTTAGCTTAGATTCTAGATAGAAGAGGAGTGGAACCTGTCAGGACAGATGGATCAAAACACAGAGTTCATCCTCCGGCCAGGAAATAAAGGTCCTTGCATTACTCAGAATCAGTGTAAGCTCACTGAATAATCTGTTTGCAATTTATGGCCTGATGCTTCATTACACTGTAGCAAAGCACCTTCTGGTAAGAGAATAATGCCAATGCATACCTACAGTGAGACAGATCCAGGCAGGAAGGGATTAAAAGTTTCAGTTCCCAACTTTTCCAAAGGGGGGCAGCAAGTCACCAGCAGGGAATTCCTGGGGAGCTCTATTTTGCTTTGAACCTAAGCTGTCTCATCAGAATGAACTGTAACACTAAATGGCAAAAATATCTGTAGTCCACTCTTTTTGTACTGGTCACTCTTTTTCCTAAGATATATGGACCTTTGAATCATATCCATGGTAACTCACCCATCAAGAAAAACCTTTTATGTCTCCAACCAGATTCCCATTGTCCCCAGCATGCTTCATTCTTCCCAGCTTTGACCACATTGGTTAGCTGTGAGCATTCTACAGACTGTTTTCCCAAATCGCTTCTCTGTTATCAATAACATAACTTTGGCCACTCTGGAAACTTCCATGTGATATCTGACAGGTAGACAACTCTGATTCTTACACAATTAAGGGTGGAGAAGTTAATTTAAAGAGAGAAAAACAGAGGAGCCCCATAAACTGCTTCAGGAGTAGAATGTCTGAAAGTGAGTGTGATAAAGGACATGGGTAAGAGAGAACAAGACCCAATATCTCTGAACATCTCCAGAAACAAATTAATGTTTAGTTTTTTAACAGGAAACAAATGAAAGGCAGCCAAATACAAAGACCTCTCACTGATGGTGGTAGGAAGGACAGAGTCATTTGGCAAAAATTGGTGGGAGTGTGGTGAGGGAAAAGAAAGAGCTAGAAAGTGCTTCTAGTTCTCAAGCTGCTGAAGGCATTCTGTTAGCCTGGGATAGATGAAAACTTAAGGGATGTAAAGTGAGAGAGATGGATGTCTGTATTTGTGCTGCTGTGAGCATAGAAATAATGCCAAACAATTTGAGTACAGCCAAATGGGTTCATTTATATGCCACTAAACCAAATGCACAATAATTTTAACACAGGGTTTGACTGACACATTTGTGAAAGTTCCCTATGTAAATTCCTACATAAAGTCAGTTTTCAAGGGGCACATTTAGCTTAATAAAATGTTTTGGCATAAATAAAAAATGTATTTCTTTAAATGCCTAAAATATTTTTTTGTCTTCACTTATATGCAAATCATTAATGTACCATTTATAAATTATTCCTGTTTGTTCCTTCAAGCAGGTTCAGTGAGACCTCTGCTTGGCCTCATTTTGTGGTTACTTGTTTCAGTTTACTACATAGCCTTGAAAGGAAAAAGCTGAATATCTTAGAAAATATTTCAAAGTACCC